CAATATGTTGACATATCTTATCAGCTTTGTTATTAATTTCACTTCACTTATTAATATCTATATTAATATCTATCTTATTAACTTATTAATTTCACTTCAGAAATGCACCAGAAATTATAACCATAATGGCCGGATAGATATGCTGGATAACCAGATATCCGGCTTTTCGCGAAATCACTATCCGTTCCATCACTATCTTTTCTTTTTTTGATACATACACAAAATAATAATAAACGAAAAATTAAATTATTCATAACATAAATATAAATAAAAGTTATATTATAAGAATTTAGATCAATGAGAAGGATGAAATTGTTTGTGCTGAGAAGATAGATCGTCATAATTTGGTTCCCTGGTTGTTAATTTTAATCTGAAATGCGGTTCCACGTCCAATAGTCTGTTCCTTTTTTTCGACTTAATGTCTACAAATGCTGAAAAAGCAACTTCACGAAAGTATAAAGTTGGAAAAGGCAAAATGTATTTCAGAACTTTTTCTGTTAAAACCGGATACACATGTTGCATTCTTCTGTTTATTTTTCAAGAATTTCAACAATAGTTTTTCAAGCCCACTTACAAACTCTTCAAATGCCGTGTTATGCATTTCAGAGTATCAGCATCAATTTTAGTAGTAATTTTAGAGTTTACTTCTCCATTACGAATAGTGATGGGAATTTACCCGGTTTTTAATATTTGTGGTATTTATCAGATATATACCTAAAATAGGTAAATAATCGGGTGTTTATTCGAAAGTAATAATTTCGAGTTTCTGTTGCTTAAATAAGTAAAGACAACAACAAAAATAATAACGTAACAAAATAAAACATTAAAAATGTATACATCTATAATATTTAGGTATTGATCTTTATTTTAATATTCACAAAAAGCTATTTTAAAATCTACGGATCTTCTGATTCTGCTTCAGAATGAGATTCTGAATCAGTCACAAATTTCAAAAAAATTTCTCTATTTCACGTTATCATTGTCTCTGTCTGCATCACATTCTTTGCCATTTTTACTTGATAGTTTAATTTCCAATTGTACGCAATATGCGACAGCTTTCCTCCTCTTTCACTTTCAAGACGATTGCGCCTGTTACTGTGTATCCAGCTGAAAGTACCGAATGATCTTTCAGTTGCTGCTGATGTGACTGGTGCTGACAAAATACGAACAGCAATTTTGCTGAATATAATACTGCTTGCAAGGTAATTTAAGGCTTATGTTGCTATTTATTTCGGATAATAAAGCAGACGAAACTTGAACATTTTTCACTCCTTTTATAACATCGGATATTTGGACAATACATTGTTTGATTGTGGGAGAACTTAAAATATTATTGCATAAAAGATGCAGTGTGTGTGCCAAACATCCTAAAGGTACCAAGTGAGGATATATTTCTTTAAGTAGCCTAAACGCTTTTGTCATATTGGCTGCGTTATCACCAATCACTACAAAAAATTTGTTGGCTGGTCCATATTTTTCTAATATTTTCCCCATTTCGTCTCTAATGTATTCCGAAGTATGTCTATTTGCTTTGATTAGCAAAAATTCGACAAAGAACAGCTCAGGTTTTGTAATAACGAAATTGATATTCATAAAGTTATATTCTCTGTCCAGAAAAGTGATTGAAATTTGCTTTCTCTTTGGTAATGGAAAGGTGGGTCGCGGTTGGGTTACATATATGGCAAGGTATGAATCCAAAACTGCTTGCGTTTCTCGTGCACTTCTTTTTTGAAAACAAGTCGAGGAAGTTTGACTTTGAGTGTTGGGTGTGGTCATCAATGTTTCAACAATCAATAACTGATTTCCAGTGCCTTTTGGAAGTTTTGATTTATTTTTATTTTTTACCATAGTAGGACATTTAAAACATTTGTTAAATTATGGTTTGTAAGTTTATTTACATTGCCAAAGTACCTTTTTCCGCAATATTTGCAGATTAATGACACTACATAGTAACCTACCAAATATTTACCTATCACTAATTACCAACTCTCTTTTGCTATAAATTAAGTTTTGCGATGGCAATGTTCACTTTATCTTGAACGTGAAACAATGAAATTTCTTTGCCTTGTAACGATATGTTGAGGCAAATTAAAAGAGAATATGTCTGCTAAGTATGCTAGGTTACAAAGCCATTTCCAGTCATGTAAACAATTTCTCAACTTAAATCTATCATTAAGAAACCATTGAAGTTCATGTCTCAGTTCAAACAATCGATTTAGAATTTTTCTTTGAGATAGCCAACGAACATCGGCATGAAAAAGAAGTTTCGTATGACTACTTCCCATAATCATTACATTCTTTCGGTGTAGTAATTCCAGATTTCAACCAGCGATCTATAATCTATGTTAGGGATAAAAATGACTATATTTTATAAACATAATCAAAATCAGTGGGACTTACTAAAGCATATAACAAACCTTTCCTATAAGAAAAATCGCACAAAAGCTACAAAGCCACTAAGTATTAACGAAGTAAGTTGTCTCTGTAACGAAGTGCGGTGTCACATTATTCATCATATTCACGCCGTGTCACATGCGACCATCTCACGCCTCACAAAACTGTCTGGACTTAAGTCACGAGAACGTAGAATTAGGCGCAACCACAAAATAACAAAAAGTGACACTACCGATGCCGGTATCCCGCCAAATCTGACGCCACATTGTTGCGAAAAAGCAAGGTATTGCAGCTATTGGTGGCAAATTAAGTTGTCTCTCTCATTCATTGTGCGTTCATCGCGCCTATGGTTCCTCGCGATAAGATGGCGGATTTTAAATCTAGGTCATAAAACGAGATGCCGCCAACATTAAACAAATCCACGTCCGTGGCATTTCTGGTTATTCTGTGGCGCAGTTCAGCATGGTGCAGTGAATATCCCCATCAAACTGAGGTGCAACGCGTACCCCCACCAAACTCTTCCCGTACCTCTGGGGGTACGCGTACCACACTTTGTGAAACACTGACTTACAGAAACACCTGTATAACCAAAACTTTCCTTCTTGTTCTGATTGAATCGATGATGGTCCATGTGATTTCGCTTTGCCAATTCAAACGCCACAGTTCTGAAGTCATTTAGTGTGTAACCCATCGTGCTTCCAATAAAAAAATATATTGCGCTAGCTCTTCCTTTTATTCTGGAGAGAATGTTGGTGTGTGGCGATCCAATTTTTTCTTCAACATCTCTTTGTGTTTAAGCTTTCCTTCCGTTATTTTTTTAACTCTAGCTTAAGAGTTGCATGAGGAACTTCAAACTGTTTGGAAGCCTTTAGATTCTCCATTTTGCCCTCTAATACTTTTTCCACAGTTTAGTGCATGTTTTGGGTTATATACCAAAATCAATATAAAAGGAGTTGGGTTATATGGGATAGTATCCTGTTTTAGACAACCGCATGGTATCCCGTTTTACCTGACTGCATTTCAAAATAAATCTTTCTTTTTTTGATTCATACAATGATAACACTTTTAATTAAGGATCAACAAGTAGAAGTAACACCATAACTATGAGAGTACACTTATTATTACCTAGTCTCCAGTCAGAACTAAAATATGTGACATGAAACGAACACTAAACAAACTCGTACAACCCCACTTTTTTCGTTGCACGTGGGTTCTGTCACAGACTTGCAGTAACTTCACTATTGTGGTTTACAACACAGAATAACAGATCCTATGATTCCAATTTAACGATCAGTAGGTGGATGGGTCTACTCGTTATTGAGAAAACGGCGGTATTCCGTTTTACCTTACCATCCCGTTTTAACCGACTCGCCTTACGCAAAATAAAAAGTGTCTTATAGACTAAAGCCGTACGATGTTATAGGTGCACAATTTTGCATGATCAACTCGATTATTTTCGCAATGTGGCGCCGGTATTGTTCATAATTTTGGCGGCACTAATTCAGGATGTAGGATCAATTTATTGCAAGGAGATCCTTTAGAGATGTTTGAGCACTTTATCACCAACTCTTTTTTTGGCGACGCTATATGTGTAATTTAGCTTATTACACATATAGTGTCGTACAAGGCTTATCTACATCACAGCTTAACAGTTCTTTCCAAACTTGTCCATCTCGCGCATATCGTCTCCACCCCCTGACTTTCAGTATTCTTAGGTCCTCCTCCATCATCCACAAATCGTCTCTTCAAACTGCAAACCTATCTTCTGCTCACAGGTCCACGGCTATCAAAAATAATTCTTGTGGTACTTTTTAGTCCATTCTGGCCAATCCATTTCAACTTTTGCATTTTGATAAATTTAACTCTCTCTGGTTCGCAATATAGAAGATACAACTCGATGTTGTAACACCGACCTCCTCTTGAATCTCTTTAATGCCGTTTGGTCTTTCTGCATTAAGGTCCATGTTTCCCTCCCATAGGTAAGTACTGGTCGTATTAAGGTTTTGTATAGGACTAATTTGATTTTTCTTGGTAAGTTAGTTGTTTTTAAGCCTATGGAAGCATTTGTTGGATTGGATTGTCCTCTTCTTTGTTTCCTTGCTGACAAACATTTTATTATTCATCGGGAATCCCAAATATACGAAACTTTCTGTCTCTATCTTGTCATCCCCAACATTCAAATGTTCTGGTATATTGCCACGAATCAGGCTTTGCCACTACATATTTGGCCTTTGTAAAGTTTATCTTTTCCGCCTCAGTTTTCAACCTTGTAAAGACGATTTCTGTTCTTTCTATAATATCTATGTCGTCAGCAAATTGTTCCAGATGTTCGGAGTTCTGCGTCTCATACTACCTTGTCCAGGCCAATGTTAAAAAGCTATGACAAGATATGACAGCCCATCTCCTTGTCTTCTGACTTTACAGTAAACCTTACTAACATTAAAATGCATTATTGCTTGATAGTGAGTATCAAAGGACTAGAATCTCATGATACGCATCGCCGTCGGTGCTGATCCCTGAGGTATGGCTACCAAATTCGGCTTGGTCCTGAAAGGGTTAAATTTTAACTTTTCCTCTTTAATTTATTTAATAAATTTAATTTTTAGCATTGTATTGATTGTGGTCACGCATGGAAAGCTGCGCTTTTTGAAGGTTGGCGTCTCTTCCACGATCCATCTCGCGAAGTTGATGAATCTGGAAATTATAATGAAACAATTTGTTCAACTGAGCAAGAAGTTGAAGGAAATTATAATCGCGATTTATGGAAACGAATGTCATTTAAATATAGTGACTCCAATAAATTAAATCGTTACATAAGATCCTCTATAGCCACTTATTGTGGTTATTTAAAACAAATTCTTCCGGTGTGTGAAAACTGGGAAGATTACCTCTGGGCCTACCTCAAAGTGATGATAGATATTCGGGTTGAATCCGAAGTAAGAGATTGTGTTAATAAAACTTATACAAGTCTGCCAGATTTTTATTGGGATCAAAGGATGTCTTTGAACGAAGTCTTTTCGCATTTAGAAACGTCGGATTGTAAATATGTTAAAGAACAAGCTAAAAAACCGGATTATATCATAATAAAATATTTGATTTTGGATGATATTCCCCAGATGTTTGTAGCTTTGGAGGAATATCTTAATGAGGATGCTTCTATTCATCTCTTAAGATTTTTAACACATTTAGTATTGTTTTTGGATCAAATTGGGCAAGCGCCTCAAAGAAATGTTGCCGAAAACGTTTTAGAAATGTATATTAAACGATTAAGTACAATGGATGACATTGGTTTGGTAGCATTTTATGTTAGCAAATTAGGGACGCAAAAACAAGTTGATTTATACAGTCGGTTCCTCGAAGGTATTACTGCAGATGAACAGAGGAGAACTGCTTTAAAATATGCTGAAGATTGCGGCTTAAACGTAGCATTAATAACAAAGACTGTCGTGGAAAATATCATAGAAAGACCATTTGATTTTACTGATATGAGTTTGCAAGAAAGATTAACGCCAGGAGATGAATACAAAATATCATCAATCGATTGGTTACTTTTTTATGAAAGTGATCGCTTAGAAGCAATCATCCAAAGTAACGCATTAATTCATAAGTTCTTAGCTTTAAAAAAATTAGATGCAGCTCAATTGGTTTTTAATAAAATCCCACCAGACTCAGCTGAAATGATTATGTCAACTTTATCAGATACCCAAATTTCTTTAAAAGAGCATTTGTGTTATAGGGCGTATTTAGACGCGCAAGAAGCTTTTAGTTTATGGTTTAAACATTATAAAATGAAACCAATTGAACCCGAGTCTATCCCTGTAAACGCACATTTAACTGAAAAAGTCGCACACCAACATAAAACATCTCAGTATAAAGCGGAAATCGAGCGTTGGAAAATGACGATGTCTCATCTTGCTAAATCAGCAAAAACGTTACTTTATAACGTTTTGCTTTTCCCGGATGGTGGTTGGTTAGGTGGCGTAAATAATGCTGAACGTTTAAGATCCACTTGTATTCCAGAATGTACTTTGTTATTGTACAATGTGCTTTTTGAATCAGGGTTACTTAGTGAATGTATAAGGTTGGCTGATATTTTAGCATCTGAGAAGTATCAATTATATAAGGTAAGAATTTATCTTGAAATTAAATTTTTTTAAATGATTTGCAATATATTGCTTTATGTACATTTATCTAAATAAGTATTAATAGACTGTTTCTTTTTTCTATTAGGTTTATAGTAAGGAAAGTTTGAGGGAAATTCTTCGTAAACTTTCTGAAGCGTCTGTTGCTTTGTTAAATTCGAAGATGGATCCTTGGGGAAATGATGGTTTCAATTAAAAAGTGTGCATAATAATAATGTATTAAGGAGTGTAATTTTTGTAATAAGTTTCTTTCTATTTTTCTAATAAAAATTGTTAAATCAATTATTATTTGATGACTTTAAATAAAATTTAATATCTTTTTTTCGATTTTTTTCATAACATTTATAATTTTATTATACTTATTTTAACATCCACTATATATTTAGGACGGATGAGAAAACTCATTTATTTATTATGCTTTTTGACATGTTTCTGTAAAATGTGCATAGTTTCTAGATTGCAGTTAGGTACCAACTTAGGCGAGGGTTAAGTACTCAAAATTGTGGGTATGTTTAAGCACTCAAGCTCATGAAATAGAAACTACCTACTTCTATATCTTCTATGGCCGGCGACAATGTTTCAGACCAACAAAGTTACATAGGAGATAGAAATTAGAACAGAATAACAAAAAAATTGATATTTTTTCAATTGCTGAATTTTAAACATCCATCATCAGTCGAATAATCAGGTTTGAATCATCATAATCAGAAAGAGAAAAATGATCTACTATAGATGACAATGAGGCCTCTACACAGCTAGAATAAAATTCCTATACATCGAATTGGACCCTAAAATAATATTAGTCATTCAGCTGCTGCCAATGTTGCAAGTGACGATAACATGTACCATAATGGTAATCGTGTTATACAGGAATTAAGCAGAACACTGAGTAAGTCGGACCTCCTGGTTTCGTTGTCTGAAACCGTCTCTTCCATCGCAAGCCACTCATTGCAGAAACAATTTTTTTCATTAACACAGCATTTTCATTCCTGATGTTTGAAAAAAACATCAGGAATCAGTTTGTAACTAATATGTTGACGAAGAAATGAAATTTCGGACCGGCCATAAAATTACGCCACTGGCGGAACCTCAAACTTATTGATACTCTTTCAACGTCCGCAACAGTTCAAGCAAGTTTTTTCAGATCATTGAGAGAACTTGCTTACTAGTCGCCTTAGTTATGCTGTTGTAAAAATTTTCTCCATTATCGGCATCTTATCCTACTCGTAGAAGACTAAATGCTGCTGGCAAAGAAGTAGATACTTAATAGAAGAGTATATAGTTCTTGCAGAAGGCTACTTTCTGTAACAGATTATATTGTAGAAGACTACACACCACTGATGGCAGAAGAGTAAATACTGTTAATGAGGTGACTAAATATACAATTATAATTATATAACTACTAAATCTTTACAAGCATGCAAAGTATGTATCAAAAACTTCTTTTGCTGACTTAGACAAAATTATATTTATAGAAGGTTTTCGATTTTAAAACAAATTAGTGACATTCAAATTTCTGGAAACCTATAAAGGTTTATTCAGCGGTTACGAACGATTCGATGAAGGCGATTTACCGATTCTAGTATACCACAATTGAATTATCTCTTCCTCGTGGAGGGGGGGGGGGTTGAAAGGGATATTTATACAGCCGATCACGTTTTTGCGTATATTAAGGCTGATGTTCAGGACACCTTAGGTATTAGAAGAAGGTCTTGACTCCCTGAGGCTCCAAGTAAATTAAGTCAGCGGTATACCTCGACACAGTCAGTATAATGTTATCACTGAGGTCGATAACCGTGCGGGGATTTAATACTAACAAATATAGCTGCAAATATAGATATTTGGTAGATATTTTCAAGATAGCTGATGATATTAATTTACAGTTTCAAGTAGCTAATAAAATTCTTATTGGTGTCAGAGTATTGTGATATTCTTATTAACAAAGTTGAACTAATGGAAACTTTTGAAGTGAGAATTTCATCATTTTCCTGGATTATCATCTTCAATAGTGGTGGTTGACTGCTATAGCTTTTAATGTAAATAAAAATATGCTTACACATCATTTGCTAAAGGAGTTGATAAATTGAGAATGTTGAAGAATTTAAAAACAAACAATTTAGCTAAATCGACGACCAATAAATAGTTAAATTATTAATATCTAATAAGTCATGCAACAATTCAGTTTTACATTATTACAAATTGAATATTTATTAACTTTGTTAGTTATTTTGACAACTTAAATTGCTTAAATTTCAAAACAAGAACATATAACACAATAACAATAATAATAAAAGTTTTTCTGTATCATGCTCGGAATATCGTTTTTTTTACTAACAACTTATGAAACTACGAATTCTTCCAATTTTCATATTTTCGAATATTTCTGTACATTGATGCATCCGAGTGCAAAAGTGTTAGTGGGCGATGTGTATAGGGTAAAATTTGCTACAACTTTTATTCTAAAAATAATATGTATATAATATGTAATATGTGTTTTGACTGGTGTAAAAGTGCATGCACTTTTTTGCATAAATAAAGAAATATTAAAAGTTTTTTTTTGTATCATACTCGGAATATCGTTTTTTTTCCATTAGTATCTTATGAAACTACGAATTCTTGCAATTTTCATATTTTCGAATATTTCTCCACATTGATGCATCTGAGCACAAAAGTGTTAGACAGCAATGTATAAAGGATAAAATTTGCTACAACTTTTATTCTAAAAGTTTTTCTGTATCATGCTCGGAATACCGTCTTTTTCCAATAACCACTTGTGAAACTACGAATTCTTCCAACTTTCATATTTTAGAATACTTCTCTACATTGATGCATCTGAGAGCAAAAGTGTAAAGGGTAAAATTTGTTACAAAAAATTTGTATTATGCTCGGAATATAGTTTTTTTTCCATTAGTAACTTACGAAACTACGAATTCTTCCAATTTTCATGTTTTCGAATATTTCTCCACATTGATGCATCTAATGGCAAAAACTTACTGCTTGAAATTTTTGCCAAAGATAATAATTTTGATATTCTGTGCTTGAATGAACATTAGTTGTCAGAAGATGAAATAAATTGTTTGAAAATAGATGGGTTTGCTAATACAACAAATTTTTGTCGCCATGTTCATAAGAATGGGGGTGTGGCCATTTACAGTGATTATACAACTATATCCCCTAAACAATTTTCGTTTGATGTAATCTATTTTTCCAAGGAAATTGACTTTGCTTGGTTATTAACGGTGTTCAGCTCGTGACAGTCTATCGCTCTCCTAACGGAGATTTTCATCTTTATTTGTCAAAATTATCTGAACTTTTAGGGAGGTTTTTTTAGGGGACTTTAATGTTCATTTTGAATCAAACTCTAAAGAGTCTTGGCTATTGCGGGATCTATTCTCATCATTTGGACTGAGCATAGCTACTAAAGAAGTTACTAGATTAAACGCTTGCCTTGATAATGTATTTACTAACCTTTATATCAATCTTTGGAATGTAAAGGTGGTGAAGCCATGTTTGTCGGGTCACTCGGCGATCTCTTTTGAGTGTAACATTGCTAATTGCAAATCTAAATCTAAAATTAGTTATCGACCAATTACTCGCTACGGCCTTCTAAAATTTTATAATTTTGTTGAGAAAATTGATTTTTCCTTTATTAGTCAATCGAATATTGATGTAAATACTAAATTTAAAGTATTTGTTGAGTTATTATCTGATGCTCTACATTCTTGATTTCAATTAAAACTATAATTGTCGATAGTAAAGACATCGACACTAATCATGTATCCTGTTTAATAACGAAGTTAAACTAGCTAGAGATCTGCTTAACTTGGTTTCTGATCTTAACAAATCCTTTCCGGAGTTTATTCCTTGGGACTGTGTGAAGAATTGTAGAAGGCACTATCGTAAAATTATACTTAAAAATAAAAAAGTAGCAAATAGCAGAGACAACTAATTCTAAAAATACCCAGAGGGCTGAGCGGAATGTTATCAAAAACAACAACCCTAGGCGAGCTATTAATGGCGTGAATGAATGTAATGCGGATGACTTCAACAGTTACTTCTGCAACATTGCGGAAGAACTACTTTCTAATATTTCACTACATCAAAGTGAATATTCGGATAATGTTAATTTTTTTTCGGGGCAGCTTAATTTTTATGAAATATCGTTTAACGACTTGAGAAATGTCATTTCTACTCTTAAGAATACTTCCAGTAAAGATATTTATGGTTTAAATCCGAATATCATAAAAGTTATTCAAAACTTAATTATTATTCCCTTAGCTAAGCTAATTAATCAATGTATTGCTGTTCATATTTTCCCAGATTGCTTAAAAATAAGTAAAGTGGTGCCTGTTTTCAAAAGGGGGTCAATTAATGAGGTCTCAAATTACAGACCAATCTCAATTACACCTGTTTTGGGTAAAATTTTCGAAATAGTTTTATATAACCAGTTAATTGCGTATCTTGAATCCAATAACCTCCTAATCAACTACGTCAGCAATTTCAGCATTTTCTGTATCATGCTCAGAATATCGTTTTCTTTTTCCATTAGTAACTTGTGAAACGACGAATTCTTCCAATTTTCATATTTTAGAATATTTCTCTACATTGATGCATCTGAGAGCAAAAGTGTTAGAAAGTAATGTGTAAAGGGTAAAATTTGCTACAAAAAAATTGTATCATGCTCGAAATATCGTTTTTTTCCATTAGTAATTTGTGAAACTACGAATTCTTCCAATTTTCATATTTTCGAATATTTCTCTACATTGATGCATCTGAGAGCAAAAGTATTACAGAGCAATGTGTAAAGAGTAAAATTTGCTACAACTTTTATTCTAAAAGTTTTTCTGTATCGTGCTCGGAATATCGTTTTTCTTTTTCATTAGTAACTTGTGAAACTACGAATTCTTCCAATTTTCATATTTTCGAATATTTCTATAACATATTTCTACAATTTTCGAATATACATTGATGCATCTGAGTGCAAAAGTGTTAGAGAGCAATGTGTAAAGGGTAAAATTTGTTACAACTTTTGTTGTAAAAGTTTATCTGTATCATGCTCGGAATACCGTTTTTTTTCCAATAACCATTTGTGATACTACGAATTCTTCCAATTTTGATATTTTCGAATATTTCTCTACATTGATGTATCCGAGAGCAAAAGTGTTAGAGAGCAATGTGTAAAGGGTAAAATTTGCTACAATTTTTCTTGTAAAAGTTTTTCTGTATCATGCTCGGAATATCGTTTTTTTCCATTAGCAATTTGTGAAATTACGAATTCTTCCAACTTTCATATTTTAGAATATTTCTCTACATTGATGCATCTGAGAGCAAAAGTGTTAGAGAGCAATTTGTAAAGGGTAAAATTTGCTACAACTTTTATTCTAAAAGTTTTTCTGTATCATGCTCAGAATATCGTTTTCTCTTTCCATTAGTAACTTCTGAAACTACGAATTCTTTGCTATTCTGTGGTATAGGCAACACTTTTTGCAGTTCAAATTTAGGTTGTCATGTCTCTAATTACAATCTTAAAAAAGTATTTAGCTACCAAATATTAAAATATGTATTTAATCTCAAAATGCGATTTATACAACATAAAAATAACGAGTAATTTCAAAATTGTAAATATATCATAGACTTATCATAGGGTTTGTTACCCTAACTTCACCCCTATTATCACCATATCTGTCAAACTGCTAACCTACGAAGCCAAGACAGTTCCAAGACAATAATTAAAACACATAAAATTATCAATAAATATGTGACACAAAGTTGATTTATGCACAGTTAATTAAACGTAAAAGTTGAAATTACCGCGATTAAGTGTTACCATATATCGCAGTAACAAATATCCCAAAGTGAGAATGTTTACGCCACTTTTCACTAGAAGTCCGGGTTACACGCAACTTAGTGGTAAGAAAAGCGATGTGGCTTTAATGATGGAGAAGTATAATAATAATTTGTTACAAATTGACGTGGACAAGCTCTTTGAGGAGCACCACGTCAAAGATATTATTGTTATAAAGAAGATGTTTGATGCGGAAATAGAAAGAAAACGAATTGAATTAAGAACAATGGTTAGGTATGTTAGTGTTACAATTTTTTTTGAATGTTGATTTAAATAATTAATTTTTAGTGATAAATACAAAGATATTTTAACTGCTTCTGATGCTATAGCTTCTATGAAAGATATGTCCCAGAAGATTTTAGAGGGCATTAACGATATTCAAGATATGTGTGAAAAGTTTAGTGATAGTAATCAAAAACAATTAGATTCTGAGACTAAAAATGTAGAATTGTAAGTTGGGAAATAAAATTATTAAGTGTTATGTAAATTAAATATTTTTTAGTGATAAAACTGAAGAAAGAACTATTGTAATGCAAATACGTCTTACATTAGCTTTAAATGAACATATATGGCTTGGTTTGGATGAAAATAATTTTTCAAAAGCAGCCCAGTATTATTTATTGGCACAGCATGTTCATACTGGTTTACGTTTATTAAAAAAAGACATCCTTGAAAAAGTACCCCTTTTAAACCGAATTAAATCTAATCTAGAGTCACTACGTACAAGAATTCTTGAAAATGTTAGAGAGAATTTGCAAATGCCTGAATTGGATGCTGAGCAAACAAGTAGAGACTTAAATACTTTGATGTTACTTGAGAATCAATCCAGTTCTGAGCTAGTTAATACATTCATTGAAATTAGAAAAGCTGCTTTAAAAAAAGTCACTGTGCAGAATCATGGAAGTGTTCGACAAAAACTTTCAGCTATGGTTAAATGTTTAACTAGTACAGTGTTATTAATACATGATTGTTTTGTATGTAAGTTATCTTTTTATATTTAAATGTTTAGGATAAAATTTTAAATTAGTGTTGCAATACTTATGTACCATATTTTTTTAGCTTATAAAGATTCTAAAATTGGTTTAATATGGACCCAACTTGAAGAAATAGTCAATGAAGATTCTCCACCAACTTTATCAAAAATTGTTTTACCACATTCTCCATTAATAATTTACATTCCTGATATTATAAAAGAGTTCAGGTAAGTAAAATGAATTTCTATATTTTTAAAAAATTGTGTTTCCATGATTCAATAATAGTGAAATCATAATTATAATTGATGATTTATAGCAAAAGAATATTAATACAAAATAATAATTCTTTATAAAAGTAGCATGCTTAACTAAAATCTTAAAAAAAGTATTTTTGGTAATCCATGTTGCGAGTCATAAAAGTAAATAAATAAAATTTATTTAAATAAAATAACTTCTTTCTCGCTATAAAATTAATCTATTCAGTACCGGTTTTGGCTAATAGGCCATCATCAGCTGAATTGTCAAAAATGTTAAAAGAACTTAGACGTAAGTTAAAAAATGTTTAAAGTAAAAATGATAAAACAACAAGAAAACACTGTTTTTATAGTTTATTTTAGTACAGCATAATGGTATAATAATCGAAATACAGGCAGTATCAGAGGATATGTCGAGTGTAGCCTCATAAAAATATTTCAGCACATTTATTAAATTTTTAATATGTTTCCAGACAGTGCAGGAGAGTGTAGGTATACCTCCATGCTCAATGGCATAGAAATGTATTGCTTGATAAGTCGGTGCAGCATTAAGTAGGTGCTATTAAACCTGATTTCTTCAAGGAATGAATTTTATAGCGAATTTAAAAAATTATTGATGAAAATTGCAACATCGAAAATTTTATCAAAACTTCAAATGTTGTTTTCTCAAAAACTAAAAGTTATTTTTCAAAACGAGTTGGTTCATTGGAAAGAGGACACTTTTATTAACATTTTGGGAAATTTTCATACTCATATTCCAAGAAATCGATTTTATACGAATTTTTAAAACTTAATCGGCGAAAATTGCAAAATTCGAAAAAATTGTCGATTATTTCAAAAATTTATTTCTCAAGAACTAAAAGTGATTTTTCAAAACGGCTTTTTGCATTAAAAAGAGGATACTTTAATTAATAATTGGTGATATTTCTACAAGAATCCTTCAAGAAATAAATTTTATAGCGAATTTTGAAAATTATCTATGATAATTGCAACATCGAAAATTGTATCAAAACTTCAAATATTGTTTTCTCAAAAACTAAGTTATTTTTCAAAACGTGTTGGTTCATTGGAAAGAGGACACTTTTATTAACACTTTGGTAAATTTTCATACTCATATTCCAAGAACTGTATTTTATACGAATTTTTAAAACTTAATCGGCGAAAATTACAAAATTTGAAAAAATTGTCGATCATTTCAAAAATTTATCTCTTAAGAACTAAAAGTGTTTTTTTAAAACGGCTTTTTGCATTAAAAAGAGGATACTTTAATTAATAATTGGTGATATTTCTATAAGAATCCTTCAAGAAATGAATTTTATGGCGAATTTTGAAAATTATCGATGAAAATTGCAGCATCGAAAATTTTATCACAACTTCAAATATTGTTTTCTCAAAAACTAAAAGTTATTTTTCAAAACGAGTTGGTTCATTGGAAAGGGGACACTTTTATTAATACTTTACAAAATTTTCATGCTCATATTCCAAGAACTGGATTTTATACGAATTTTTAAAACTTAATCGGCGAAAATTACAAAATTCAAAAAAATTATCGTACATTTCAAAAATTTATATCTCAAGAGCTGAAAGTCATTTTTCAAAACGGCTTTTTGCATTGAAAAGAAGATACTTTGATTAATAATTGGTGATATTTCCACAAGGATTCTTCAAGAAATTAATTTTATAGTGCATTTTGAAAATTATCGATGAAAATTGCTGCATCGAATATTTTATCACAACTTCAAATATTGTTTTCTCAAAAACTAAAAGTTATTTTTCAAAACGTGTTGGTTCATTGGAAAGAGGACACTTTTATTAACATTTTGGTAAATTTTCATACTTATATTCCAAGAAATGGATTTTATACGAATTTTTAAAACTTAATCGGCGAGAATTGCAAAATTCGATAAAATTGTCGATCATTTCAAAAATTTAGTTTTCAAGAACTGATGTTTTTCAAATCGGCTTTTTGCATTAAAAAGAGGATAATTTAATTAATAATCGAAAGTGATAACAGCGACAGTTCTGTTAGTAATAAATGTGATGATGAATTACAAGCGAAGAGAAGAACATTTTTTGTTCAATATAAGCCCTGGTGTGGTCCTGATCTAATACTGTTGCGCCCAATATCACCCAATTTCAATCCTTGTCTACCTATAATAAAATGTCCTGTAAAGCTTAATAAAGAGCAGGTTTACTTGGATTTGACCATATATCTGTAGTGGTACTTATCCATGCGCGTTTATTAACCAAATTCATGACCTTGGTCTCTACTTTGTCATACGTTTTTGGCATTAACGACGTTTTAAAATAATTTTCACTTTTTAAATTATATTTGTTAATAGCGCTAGGATCGCCAAAATTGAGACGTTTAAACGCCTCACCTTCTCCTAACGAAAACGGCAGCATATCAACATAACATCCATGATAGGTTTATCAATCATCTGGGCCATTTCGCTATCATCCGGCCCTACTGATCGCGTACGTTTCGTCATCTGACTGAATTGTTACTTGTAGAAGACTTTTCGATTGTTGTTTTAAGACTGTCCTGTACTCGTCATTGTGGTATCTTAACATATGTTGTTTTAATCCGTGAACGACGAATGTCGAAGATTTATTACAAACTCTTTTCTTGATTTCGCAGCGTTTCGTAACTCTGTTTCATCCGAGCTAATTACCCAAAATGAGACCTCGTCAAGCAACGTTGCTTGACATGATAACGGCAGCGTAATCTCAAAACAAAACCATCCTTAACAACAAATGTTAATAACCTAAGTGAGAAATCCGAAAATTTAACGAAAAGTCTATTACAATTTACCTCAACGAATTAACAGCTCACAAGGACAACGACACTTGCTGTAGAAAGCGACACTTAGAACAATTTCAAAAATCATGCTCACTTAAAATCGTGATCACAGGATCACATAACATATGCAAAAAGCATAAACATTTACCAATTATGTTGCAAATATCTTCACATGATTTAGAAATTAGTGATCTTTCAGCGAGCATCATCACAGATGATGAAAGCATCGATTCATCACCACGTGTAGTGGTATACGAAATTCATATCAACTTGAATCGTAAGAAGTTTCCTCAAATAGGCATCATGCATAGTTTGTTAGAAAGTAGTACAAGTTATGCTGCCGAAATCCACTAAGCTACCTGATGGTATAAAGTCGTATAGACCAATATCATTGTTACCTATCATGTCGAAGGTATTCGAAAAGCTTCTGTTACAGAGATTAAAACCACTCATAGTTAGAAGACAACATTGAACAGGTTCACAGGATTACAGATCAAATCAAGAATACACTAGAAAATAAGCAATGCTACTTATTACTTTTACTTGATGTATCTTGATGTGGTTTTTGGTACCAAGGATTACTTCGTAAACTGATGTATAAATGATACGTGCTAATCACGTCCAACTTTAGGAATTTTGTCTAACACGACTTTTTAGAATGTGACAGGAAGCGATATATTCACACTTAAAATCCATCAACTATGTAACTAGTTTACATATGACATAGCACAGCAACATTCGCTGATGATGCAGCAATACTTTATACTGCATTAACAGTACAAGATGTGACTGGTAAGCTACTCAAGAGGACTATGTCCTAGCCAGTGACATAGCCCAATGTAGACACAAAAATGGACAATCAAACTCAATAAGCTAAAGTGTTCTCATGTAAATTTATCGTGTTGTAAAATGAATTAAACGCTGCCAGTGCACATAAATGGTATTGTTGTGTCATATGCAATTGCCGCGAAATATCTAGGCTAGATTTTGTAAACTAAACTCAAATGAGAGAAACATATGAAGAAAAAAACTCAGAGAACGGCTTCAGAATGCGACAACTGTGTTTGCTCTTTGGGCGACACTTCAAGATGTCCACTCAAAATAAAGTATTTGTATACAACCAGATCCTTCAATCGATCTGGATACATGGTATTCAACTGGGTAAGCAATGGCAACATCAAGGATATGCAGACATGGAAAAATAAGATGCTTCTTTCCATTAAAGAGGTATTAAACAGGTTGCCGGGAAGCACGAAGAAAGTCCAAAGCACAGATTCAACAGCTACTTGACAATACTAGCCTTTACCGTCGGCTTAGGAGAAGAAAAATTTATCGAATTGGACTGTCATTGGACTGCGGTGGATTACATGTAGGTCGGAGTCGGCGGTTCTAAAACTGGTGGGGATAATTTTCCTATCAATTAAGTGTTTCACAATTCACAAGAACTGTTGTGTCAGCTTGTCAGACACTACATTCTGAGTTTCTAGATCGATATTGTTGTCTTATGACTTGTTAGTTATGATGGTCGGAACAACAAATATAAATATTGTTGTTTTCTTTTCTTTCCATTGTTGCAATTTAAAAAATAAAAATGATTTTCGCACTTAAACAATGGCTCTTTATTTTTACTGATCAGCTTTTTCTAAAAAGTTTTTAAATTGAAAAATTCTATCACATTTGTTGATATATTTGAGGTTTTGACCTAATTTTAAATTTATTGTGATTTAAGAATACTTAAATATTGCATACATTTTTGTGATGTTGAAAATATACAACAATTTTCATTATTATACTTTTTGAAATTCAAAAGTATAATATGGAAAAAACTGAACAAATAAAAATTTTAAATTGATTTATGGCTAATTATTTGTCAAGTTATATCAATTTTGTTTGTACTCAATCAATTTTTAGAATAAGAACTTTTATTAAAAACATTTCGAATTTTAGGTATAAAAGCGTTTTAACTATGCATATAATTACTCAGATCTAATGAATATGAATCATTGTTTTTTATTTAAATTAATTTATTTTGCCATATATTAATCTATTAAAAATAATTATTTTTGTTTGCTATGAATCATCGCATATTGTGACATCAAAAATATAAGCTGTAACAATATATTTTTATTTTTTAGACCCAAATGTAGTTACACAATAAGTGACCAGTGGCAAAATGATTTAGAAAAATCAATTAAAGATTGGATAAAATCGACTGGAGAAACGATTAACGCAGGTCTTAAAGATGCTTTAGAACTTGTAACAACAATAAAGGGTTTGCATATTATTCGAGAGGAAGCTTTAAAAATATGTAAGATTTATTAAATTTAATTTTTAAAATATACACAAGTCAGAAAGAATGGATAATCTTTGAGCTGGATATAGAAAGATATCAGAAATATGTTTTTTAAATATACAGGGTGAGTTATTCTTAACTGTTTGAGAAAGAAAAAAATGTTTTACACAAAGTTGTTTGACTCACCATTTTCTATTACTTAAAATTATTTTTACTTATATAGTGTGTTCCATTTAGGCGTACCGAAGAGTATGTAGATTTTGTTAAATGGAACACCTATATATTTTATCATATTATGAATACAAACAACTAAATTTGTTTATACAACCGTGTATATTACTATTACACAGCGTTCATAGTTCCTGAGATATTCAATTGTTCTTCCAAAATGTGCCTATTACAGGATCTTTTTGAAAACGATATAAAAACGACATTTTTTCCGATTTTGTCTTGAAACTACGTCAGACAATAGTCTGACTGTATCTACTGGCTATAGGTAGATGATAGTATTCAAAGATATTAGATACTAACTAGTAACTATCGACCGCCGGGATAAAATAATAACTCACCCTGTATAAAAGTAAAAATAATATTTCTGTTTTCAACATTTTTTTTCTTAAATCTTCATTTTTCTCTAAACCGGATTTTTGCATTCTTTGGGTATCGTTCAATATATTTTTAGGCAGAGCTTTAGAGAGAGTTTAATGAATTAAACGCCAAAAGGAAGCGGTTTAAACAGAGGAAAATCACCTAACACTTTGAGATTAATTCATCAATAATACGGTTTGGAAAAAGCCCATGGCATACCAATTTTTAAGTCTGGTAGTTGTAATTATGCTTCGAATTATACTCCAATTTCTCTTTTACCACTACTTACAAGGGAAGTGTAGGAACTGTCCCTCACCGATTTTGTTGCAATTTGATACAGCGATAGTATGGCCAAAAATAAGGTTTACGTATTTTTTTATACGTGCTGATAAAGTCCCTGGGGTGAGTTATAAGGGTTGGAAATCAGGGCGGACGATATACAGAATGTCCCGAAATGACGTGTACAACGCAAGACCACAAGTACCTTGACTAAAAATATGACGATTTAACTCAACTTATCTATATACAAAATTGCTTAGTTTAGCCGCTAGAGGGCGTTAAACATTCATGATGAATCAAAGATAAAACGCAAAACAGAAAATACGAATACTGCTGTCAACTTTAAGTGACAAACTGTTTTTGTTTTTAAAATTAATTATACCTAACCAACTATTAAAAAAAAAACGTTATTAGTGTTACCTTATATCACTCATTCGCGCTTGTGGAGATTTAGAAAATATTTTTTTATGGCTAAACCGTTCACCCAACTGAAATTTTGTAAGAGAGAAAATAGTTTCTAAATTAAAGTAACTACTCAGAAAAAAAGAATGGTAGTGTTTGTAAAGGGGGTTAAAATGATAATATATATATAATTTATTGTGACAAAGTTTTTAAGCACCCTATAATTTTCGAAATTAGAGTTTATTCCACAACTAGCTGTAGTCTACTGATACAAACACATGACCAAAAAATGAATAAAATCCATTAACGATTTTTCGACATATTTAAAAAAAAAAAATTTTTAAAGCCCTCTAGCGGCTAAACTAAGTAATTTTGTATATAGATAAGTTGAGTTAAGTTAAATCATCATATTTTTGGTCAAGGTACTTGTGGTCTTGCTTTCCTGACACCTGTATATGCGCTTATAGGCTGAAGACGAAAATAGCTATCGAAATGTGGTAAACGTGAACTGATATTCATTTTCAAAGAGCTTTCCATTGATATACATATACAGGTTGTCTCAGCGAGACCGGTCATTAGACGTTTCTGGTGTTCTGGCCAAAATAAAAATTTGAGAATTCAGACTTAAGTATTATAAATTGCGTTCTCTTTGACTAAAATATTTTCAGATTTCTAGCATTTCCGGTTATACCGGAAGTCGTCACCTACTTAATTTTTTAAGAGCAATTTGATTCGGCCGTTCTCGAGTTATTCGATTTTTTCTAGAAAAATCTGCTCTAGCAGACATTTGTTAAAAAATCAGAGAACACTCGATTTTTGGGATATCAATTTAGGATTCAGAACATGATTAAGCAACATGATGGAGTATGTTTTGGAAGTACCATAACTTCATTTTTTTAAATGGCACCCCCCATATTTTATTTCTTAGTCGTCTTTAGTGTCTCATTCTACATCTTTTGTATTCCATATGTCCCATACCTAACATTAATATTTTGGGAGATAATTAGAGTTTTTTGAAAAATGCACACATATCATAAGCGTATTTAGCCTAGTGTGCCATGGAAAACAAGCCTTCTCAATGAGTTCTTGTCAAAGACTCACTTGTTTATGTCACTTGATGCACGTGAGCTAATAATTATCTTTTAGGTCCCTTAATATTAGTACTAAAAAGAGCTAAAATCGATTACAATAACGAAAATAATATTTACACAAATCAAAAAATTCTTAATTTATTTTTTATACATGAAAAACGCGACAGTTTCGTAGTATGATTCCCAGATCTTCTTTGGCAGTTCGAATTGAGGTGTTGGGACTGGGCTGGAAATAAGCCCAGTCTACTATATTTTTTGGTCAGTTTAACATGTGATTAATTCGTCCAAAATGCAAAAAATTTGCTTCTATTTTTTTTTAACATTTTCTTCTATAATTCGAGAACGGGTGGCTTTACCGAGATGCGGTTTTCACTAAAATTTAGCAAATTTTAAGGTGACTAAGGGCCTGTGAAGTAAATAGTACCGTTCCATGTAACCTTTCTTCAAAAATCATAAAAATATGTAATCGCTGCAGATAACGCCTTCTAGCTTATTTGTTTTAAAGCGAACGGTCTTACTGAAAATATCTTTAAAAAGAGCATAAAATGCTCTTTCAAACAACACCGAAAATATACAAATCGGTTGAATGGTCCAGGAGATATTAAAATGTAAACATTTGAAAACGCATTGGCCTCCCCCTCCCTTATTATGACAGATATGAGAAATATCGCAAAACAAAAGCGATGCGGTATTATCCAAGCTATTAAATGATGTTGTCAAAATTATAGCTCATCTTCTAAGTTTCTGAGATAGCGGGAATTTTATGTTTCTCAATGGCAGTTACGCCCTAGCCGTCGAATTACGAACTTCGAAATAATTTCCAACTATTTCTCTTGGCCACTTTGCCTATAAGGATTTTTTTCCCAAACCTCTAGGCTTTAGCGTTGTCGAAATACAGCCGCTCCGTACCCTTAACGGGACATCCTGTATTTGCTGGTATCGTCAGAAGACTTTTGTTTGGTGTTGAGAATGACTTTTTAGGTGTTGTTTCTTTTTTCTGAATTTTGAGCTGAATGTCTGAGTGTTTGGTTGTCGACGGATATGATCGAGTGTTTTTTGATGTGATTAGTTCTTTCTGTTGTGTCTGGCAATGAGTCTTTGTAGGTGTCATTAATGGCCCTGGTCCTGGTTGACTGTTTTCGATGNTGGGGTGAGTTATAAGGGTTGGAAATCAGGGCGGACGATATACAGAATGTCCCGAAATGACGTGTACAACGCAAGACCACAAGTACCTTGACTAAAAATATGGTGATTTAACTCAACTTATCTATATACAAAATTGCTTAGTTTAGCCGCTAGAGGGCGTTAAACATTCATGATGAATCAAAGATAAAACGCAAAACATAAAATACGAATACTGCTGTCAACTTTAAGTGACAAACTGTTTTTGTTTTTAAAATTAATTATACCTAACCAACTATTAAAAAAAAAGTTATTAGTGTTACCTTATATCACTCATTCGCGCTTGTGGAGATTTAGAAAATATTTTTTTGTGGCTAAACCGTTCACCCAACTGTAAAAGAGAAAATAGTTTCTAAATTAAAGTAACTACTCAGAAAAAAAGAATGGTAGTGTTTGTAAAGGGGGTTAAAAAGATATTGATGCATAATTTATTGTGACAAAGTTTTTAAGCAACCTATAATTTTCGAAATTAGAGTTTATTCCACAACTAGCTGTAGTCTAGTGATACAAACACATGACCAAAAAATGAATAAAATCCATAAAGGATTTTTCGACATATTTAAAAAAAATTATTTTTAAAGCCCTCTAGCGGCTAAACTAAGTAATTTTGTATATAGATAAGTTGAGTTAAGTTAAATCATCATATTTTTGGTCAAGGTACTTGTGGTCTTGCTTTCCTGACACCTGTATATACGCTTATAGGCTGAAGACGAAAATAGCTATCGAAATGTGGTAAACGTGAACTGATATTCATTTTCAAAGACCTTTCCATTGATATATCATACATATACAGGTGTCTCAGCGAGACCGGTCATTGGACGTTTCAGGGGTTCTAGCCAAAATAGAAATTTGAGAATTCAGACTTAAGCTTTAAGATTTTCTTTAGACTTAAGATTTACTTTTGCAATTTGATTCGGCCGTTCTCGAGTTATTCGATTTTTTCTAGAAAAATCTGCTCTAGCAGATATTTGTTCAAAATATCAGAGAACACTCGATTTTTGGGATATCAATTTAGGATTGAGAACATGCTTAAGCAACATGATGTAGTATGTTTTGGTGCCGAGAACGGTTGTCTAGAATGTTTGGTCACTTTACTATGGCACGTTAACTTTTCGAAATTTGGAAGTACTATAACTTCATTTCTTTAAATGGCACCCCCCATATTTTATTACTTAGTCGTCTTCGGTGTCTCATTCTTTTGTATCCCATATGTCCCATACCTAACATTAATAGTTTGGGAGATAATTAGGGTTTTTTGAAAAATGCACACATATCATAAGGATATTTAGACTAGTGTGCCATGGAAAACAAGCCTTCTCAATGAGTTCTTGTCAAAGACTCACTTGTTTACGTTACTTGATGCATGTGAGCTAATAATTATCTGTTAGGAACATTAATATTAGTACTAAAAAGAGTTAAAATCGATAACAATAACGAAAATAATATTTACACAAATCAAGAAATTCTTAATTT